TGGTTTGGTGAGTCACTAAAATAAGTACACCAGAATGTGCCTTCATTTTAGTTTATAAGCATCAGTGCTGACATTTTGTGATGTATATATAAAATGTAATATTCTGTGTAAAGAATTTTAAGCTCCACGTTGTCTTTGTCTATGAATAGTTGTTTACAGTTGAACCTTTGATGCTGCTTATGTATATACAGTCTGCAGTGTGTTATTGTTAAAGGTGGGACTGCTGACAACAACACAACAGTGTTGACGTGAAAGTCATGTTTCAAGGTGGAGAGTTATTTATGTTGATCAGTGACAAAGACATGCTTTTGTTGGTATAGGGAGGTATAGGGAGTTGGTTCAAAGACTGAAGATTAACCAGTTTTATGGAGCACCAACAGCCATGAGATCATTGGGTGCAAAAATGTTTTAAAGAATAGTGATTACTGGTTGAGAAAACAAAGGTTGCCTATTTTATGTTGATTTTTCTTTTTGTATTTTATTGACCGTTTATAACAAATTCACACATGGTGGCAAATCTTGGAGGATACTCATGTATTCTTGGATTACTTTGTGTTTTTTTTTTCATTTTTCCAAGAAAGTCACATTATATGTGGATACATCATACACAAATCTTATTATGGCACAATATGATGACTTGTGGCACATCTAAACCGCACTCCATCTCACCCTAATTGCAATAATGGCCTGTTTTATTGTATTATCTTATTTTGGTTGTAAAATGCCATTGGCTGTTCATTTGTTTTTTATTTATATTTTAATTTTTATATTTTATTTTCTATATTTTAATTGAGTGTTTTTTTATATTATATAATTAGGTCAGAGATGTATGTTATATTCCAATAAAGTTGATTTTCGACACAAACTTTTTACGTTTAAACTACATAATGACCAGTTTTATGTTATGTTGTTTAGGTAATGTCGTCAATTATCTATTTTATTTCTTTCCGCGCACATCTAAAATTTCAGCATTAACGATAATCTACACTACGGGACCTTTAAATTTACGTCATTTCCTCTCGATAGTTTGCGCATGCGTAGCAAGAGGTCATTTAAATTGAACCGGAACAATTGATCTCGTTTATCAAACAAACATTTAGTCGTCGTCGAGTGTGTATGAAGTCACAGCGCGATTGTGTGGTTTTTAGTCATTTTATCCACACTAGTGCGTTAGGTAAACTTTTTTGTCGGTAAGTAAACATGCTAGCTTGAGTTTAGTGCTACGGTGCAGCGTTTTCAGCTGTGTAAACAAGAGACAAGAGTTGTCCTGTGGTGGATACGTAGCGGTAAACAGGTAAATGAGACCGACACAGCTTTTGATTGTGTTATTCCAGCTTGTTCTTGTCATTCCATTCATTGTGCCTCCTATGCTTATCAGTCATTAACAGATGCAATGGAGGAGAAGACTTGAAGGCACAGCAGCTTGGACTCTGCCAGGTAGAGCGAAGGAGCAACTTTATTTGAAGCCGATCACTTGTTTGCTGGACTTGTAAGTGTTTTACTGGATTGTGTAATTTTAACTTAGGTTTTTTTTACTTAGTATTTTTTTAGCTTTATTGTTCATTTTTTAATTTGTTATATAGTGCAATCATTGTGTAACTTTAGCTGTATTTGATATGTTGTAAATTTTCCAATAAAAGAAACTGTTATGTGGATCCATTTCCAGATATTGAGCCAATTGTGTATCTCATTGCCTTTTAGGGTGATGTGTCTGTGGAATACTGCTGCTTCACAAGACGTGTTAATTGCGGCATCTGCAATCCACCAGGTGTAGGATCATTAGTTTGTCAGTGACAAGGTACA